CCCCCACCCAGCTGGTCCTCATTCGTAATACCAGGTGGCTGACTAACCCCGCGCAAATCTGCATTTATACTGTGCCCTCATTGAAGTTGTAGCACGCACGAGAGTGAGCGGGCTTTCCTTCCGCCCCTGTTCACGGCGCCTTACGTGCCGAGCGAGTAGGCAACCCGCCTGCACGTAGGAGTGCGGTACTTCGGGGCTAATCAGCCACCTGGTATGCACGCCGCGCACTTCAGTAGTTGTACCGGGTGATTCAGAGAAGACGAAGGTGCGGGCGGGTTTGCCTATCCTCGACTCGGTACTGTGTCGCTTGCTCACGTGTGGGCGGGTTGCCAGCCTAAGTCACACGGAGCCATAAGGAGCCGTGGGCGGCGAGGATGGGCAAACCCGCCCGCACCCGTGCATGCGGTACCGTGTAACTAACTAAAAACGTGAGTGAGAACTACGGCGTGAGTCAGCCACCTGGTACGCCTTGAAAGGCGGTCACATCCTGCATGCCTAGAGCTGGGGATGGGCGTAGGCGTAGGATAGTACAAGAGGCGCTCCAGCTCCAGCCAGGCACCCTGCTCGCTGAATAGCCCAAAAGTTAATCTGGGTTCTGTAGCATACGCCTAAGGCGTATACATTTGATACTCTTCCGAATTGCAGTCTACCCGAGGAGCCATGTCGCCTTGGGTGAGCGAGTAAGAAAACCCACCCCTGCGAGTATTCCATCAAATTTTGGAGTATACTGTATACCTATACTCTGGGAACTCAAGTGTAATACAGTAAGTATCACAGTTCTAACTGCAGTTCTAATGGCACTGCAGTTATTTGTGTGGTGACATGCGTGTGTACCGCAGTTATAAGTGTAGGACACTACTACAGTTCTTTGTGTGGGACACTGTGTGTCCAATTCAAAGTGTAACATACTACCCAGATTTTATAACTGTAGAACAGGTGAGTCCTACGCACGGGACTGTAGTACACATAGTTTTCCTGTACTTATAACTACAGGAAAAACTGTGATACTGTACGATACGAGAGTTTCCAGAGTAGCGGATGTGCGGTCAATAGGTAGGTTGCATACACATCCGGCATACCACGACTAGCTAGCACGAGTGTAGGCGATTCACCCCGCACCAAGGGGGCCCACTCCAGATGAAAGTGTACGAGTTAGTACGTTAGTTTAGTACATGTAGAGCAATTTTTCTGAATTTTTACAAAATGTTGTCATTACAGCACTATTACCGCTATTAAGCTTGATTTTCTACCATTACAACGCGTTATCATGCCGTTAGTACAAGGTACAAGTTAGTGGAGGCCTGGGTGTACAGTCCGTAAGTGATTTCCCCATTCGCGGGACTGCACCAGTCACCTTTCAAAGGGGCATGGACTTCCCCCTGTTACTGTGGCATGTGGAAGCGTCTTCATCGGTTTACGTACGCAATGGAAAGGCGTACACGGAAGACACGGACGAGTCCTTCCTTTACTGTAATGCTAATAATGCGGTTTGTTCACTCTGACAAAAAATCAGTACAGAATTTTGTAAATAGTTACGCAGTAATTTGCTTATCACTTTTGATTCAAATTTCTGTAAAATAACGATACAGACTTTTAAAGCAGAAACAAAAATCTGTTATCTTTTACAGATTTTTGTATATGTTATAGGAGTCTGTATCGTTTTTGATACAGAAATTTGTATCAACAGTGATATGCAAATTACTGCGTAAAAACGATTACAGAATTTTGTATTCTTTTGAGAGTGATGTAAACATCGACACTTGCGGCGAATGACACATCACTTCCACCTCATGTGTAACTGTTTGTCGTCGTTTACGTTATGTTTTGTTTGTTTACATTTTTCTTTGTCGAATAAATAACGCGCTACCCGGGTGAAAGGATCTTTAGTTAAACTGTAGTTTGGACTATAGCGTTCAAATGCAGTCTTAAAACTGCAGTTGCAGAGGAGAAAAAAAAGAGAAATGAGTACAGTTGATACATTAGTTTGGCAATTGAGTTTTCAGATATTATATTATGCTACTTTTTCTGTAGTTTTCCACACTAGTTTCGCACTGTAGTTTAAAGACAGTTTTAAGAACAATTTAATATCGAGTTTCCAACATCAGTATGAAGTTATCCTGAAAGTTGTATTTGCATCTGCATTGCAACCAGTACATCAACTGTAATTCTGACTAGATGATAATAAAGAGTAAGAATTTAATCTTTTCACACCATTAATTATGCAGAATACCAATAGTTGAACTAGCAGATAACATCAATAGTACCAATCTGTATTCACTGGAAAAAATAATGTTACCGAGGTAACGTTTCTTGACGCAACCAAACCAGAAAACGTTTGGTGATGCAACCTGTTTGTGATGGCCCTATCCTTTTGCATGGGGTAGGTTGCATCAGGAAACGTTACCGGGCTTGGTCACATGATGAAACGTTACCTCGGTAACATTAGTTTGTCCAGTGTTGGAAAAACCAATTTTTATACAGTTTCTGTATATTTTGAGTAATCAGAGATATTTCGATTAAACAAATCATGAGACTTGTGAAAATTTTTGATCTATGATTACATAGCATGTAACAAGCAAGAAAAAAATTTAAGTGCAAGAAAATATTGGGGTTGATTACAGTTTGTTGTACGTCTACACAACGTGTTTCACACCTCTGATAGTGTGACGTAAATGGCACCAAATTTAATTCAGATTGCAATTGTAGCAATGGCGTAGTTTCAATTTCAAATAATATAAGGTTTTTTCGTTAAGCTTTCACTCACGCTCCGTCAACATTAAGTCCAACGTTTGATGACTTGAAATGAATACGTATAGCTCCACAACAAACACCAATATAGTTTACTTATCAAACACCTTCAATAATCACCGAATTGTCAGTAGTCGGGAGACATTTCTTGCAAGATTGGCAGTTCAAAACGAAGACACTTTAGTTAAACTATGCTTTAACTGTAGTCAAACTACAGTTCGGACTGCAATAGAGGGGTTCGCTAGGCTCTGAGGGACATCGGGCAACGGCACACCCTCCCGTAGCGTGGCGCTATAGCCCAGGGGTACAGACCTCGTCTCCGAAGTGGAAGGTTCGGGGTTCAAATCCCATCGGTCGCCGTCAACTTTCATCATCCAAGTAAGTAACTTCGAGGGTAAAATTGGTAATTCGAAAGGGAGAAGCGTTACCAAAGTAAATTAGGGCAACGTGGGCATAAAAATTTTCAAATTTGAAAACAAGAACTATACTCATAGTACACAGCAAAACTCACATTTAACTACAGTAAAACTGTAATTTAAGTTGCAGAAACCTGGCAGAATTCTGAAACGAACTCTGGAAAACTGTCGGAAAACTGTAGTTTGTCCGAAAAAAGTGGTACTTTTCGCACAGTTATACTATAGTTTTTCGTACTTATAATACAGTTTAAGCATGTTTTTCTGTACTTTAACTGGAGTTTAAGAACACCGAAACTACCATATAGACACACTTGAAACCCTACTTCTGACTTAGACTCCCTTGCACTCTATCTGCATTATAAGTTGGGAAAAAACTTAGAAAATTGATGCAGTCAAAAGTGTAGATCCTTCCACCCGGGTAGGGTGTCGCGGGTGTGCGTGCAGGCTCCGTGTGGCGCCGCGAAGGACTCGGCGAGGTGAGAGGGAGCCAGTGAGAGGGTCGAAGTCGGCGCGCTCGCGGCCGCCAGGCTCCTCCCACGCCCGCCGCGCCCTCCCATTGGCCGGCTCGCTCCCGCGGCTGGCCAGTGGCGCGCTTCGCGGCCGCCGCGGTGTGGCGCGGCGTGGCGGGGCGCGGCGGGGCTCGCCGTCCTGCCCTTCTGGCCGAGGAGCACGAGGGCACACGCCCACAAGCGGCCAGGCCAAAGCCAGCCCGGCCGCGCCCTGATCGCGATCACAGTCGATAGCGGGGTCGATCAGGCGGACCGACGGAGGACCCGCGTCGCCGCCGTCCGCGCGGCCACCTCCGTGACCCCCCGGTCGCGCCCCGGCTGCGCCCGGCGCCGCCCCCCAGTGCCCTCCCGGTGCCCGCCAAGAGTGTCCACTTCCCGGTGGCGCCCTCCCCGCCAGTCGCCAGTCGGCGCCGGCCAAGTGCCTCTCGTGTCTCTTCCGGGCCTCCCCGCCGCCCCCTGGAGGCACCTCGGCGACAACCCCTGCGGGGGCAGCAGCACCGCTTCACGCCACTGCTCATACCAAGCTCCACGGAAGGCGCGAGGCGAAGGTCTACCTGCGGAAGCGAAGCGGCGGCGCGCTCCTCGGCACGCGAAGACAGGTAAGTGCATCTGCATCATCAACTTCCCTCGTCAAGGGCTTGGGCGACGTGTCGTGCTGGAGGGATATTGGAATATGGAGCTGGAAAAATGCAGGGAACAGGTGTTTTTCTAAAGGTTAAGGAAAACGAGTCGCCAATCAACGGTATCGGAATCAACGGAATTCTAAATATTGTTCTTTATGTTTTACAAGGAAACCTTCCAAAAAAATGGAGTTTCCTGTGAATCAAGAATCACAGAATTGTAGACATTTATTGTTTAGACTCTTGAGTGCCAAAGTTGTTGATAAATATCAATAAGCAATCGATTGTCCCATGTCCTACTACAGATAAGTTAAGGTTTTGTTACTCCAGAAATCGTTAAAAACTAACATCTGTCCACAAAAAATCATTTTTATTTCATCGTGTGTATCCGGCGGTAAAAAAGAGTTGTGTGAATAGTATAAAACTTTGTATGATCCAGCCCGGGTGAGCAGCTGTGCAGACAGAATCTTATTGCCAACTCGCTTTCTGTGTCTACTTTCAAGCCATGGAATTAAACCCCTTTACAGGACAGCCTGGCTCTGAGCCCGCCGTCACCGCCGCCCTCCAGAGGGAAGTCCTCCCGGTGTGCCGGGGCAGCGGGAGAGCCGGGGAGATCGTCCTCATCCTCTCCACCGCGGTCGAGTGCCCCCCGCAGGTAGGCAGGCGGCGGAGAGTCGCGACGCCCGTGCGCGGCGGGCCGGCCTACCCACAGGCGGCAGGTAGGCACCCGCACAGCAGGCGTGCGCGGCGGGCCGGCCTACCCGGCTACCAGCAGGGGCTCCGCTCCGGCCGCCGCCAGGCCGCCAGGCCGCCGCCCCTCCGGCGACTTGCACGCGCGTGGAGCCCCCGCCGCTGCCCCTCTCGGTCTACCCGCTTCCATTGTCATCCGCTCTGCTCGAGCTGGTACACATTTCTTTTCCGCCGTAGCGGAAGGTCGGGTCCTAATGGGACACATTCATGTTCGCGCCGTGGTGATCCGAGGAGTTGTGAGCAAGATGCTAGATTTTGTGATCGGTGAGCCGGCCCGGCAGCCGTTGCCTTCCGGTGCGAGAAGCGTCCAAAGCTAAGTGTTAGGAAATACAGGAAATGCAGGAAACAAATAAATATTAGACTAAGAATAGACTCCGGTTCCCAACCTACTCCACTCCCGTATCGACTAACCACTAAGTTCTGTCTGAGTCAAAAGTATGGCATTCTTAACGTAACGTGAAAGGGCTATTTTGTCTTAAGTTATGCAGCCCTGATTTTCCATATGGGTCAGTATTGTACGTATGACGTTACATTTCATGAAAAGAAAAGAGTACTATGCGTCCCTCTTTTACACATTTGCTGTGCGTTATCGTAAAAAATCAATGATGTCCGATTTATACCCAAGGGCGTCCCAGCGTCCCATAGTTCCCAACCCCAGGGTACAATGGGACAAATGCATCATTTCTTTCAAATCTCTTTTTCGGATATTTTGACAGCAAAAGTTAAAATTTTGTACGATGGCACTTGATAAAAGGGGGTTGGCAGGGTTTTCACGAGTCTGCGGGGGTAACTCGCGGGCCCGCGAGGGTAGAACGTGGGTCCGTGGGCGAAACTCGCGCTCCGCGGATCCTGCCGCGGGGGTTGCTCGCGGTCCGCGATTGCCGTCAGCTACCGCCGCGGACCCACAAGCTACCCCCGCCTTGCGAGTCACCCTCGCGGACTCGTGGGAACCCTCTAGAAACCGAGAACAACCCCGTTGTAACGCCCCAGGGCGGTGGCTG